CATAACCCTTGCTCGTTATTAAATAACATACCGTAGTAAATAATTTAATCACCATTTCTAAGTCTTTTACTTTTTCGGGACAAAAAACTACTTGAAAAAGACCAGGGCTTTAAAAATTATTTGAAGTAGATGGTTATGATAAGACAGGGGTGGCGCCAGGGCCGCCCTTGCAGGGGGGGGGGGGCAAAGGGAGCAATTTTCTCCGCGACCCCAGCTCAAGGAGGGCCGGCAAATACAAATTTGCAAGGGGGTAAAAAGTTTGTCGACGGAGGGGTGGGAGGGGAATTATTGTGGTTCACCGGGGCCCCAAAGATATAATTGGCCCTGGGCCGCCATATTTCACTGAGCTGGCCTGGGCTGCGCCAGTAATTCTCCGACGGGGGAAGTCATCGGTGCTCTCTTTCGTTCTTTGGCAATTGGCATTAAAACCACAAGAACTACCGACAAGTGACCAGGGCCGGATTAACGTCGCGCGAGGCTCGTGGCAGATTTTAGCGCGAGGCCCCCAACCCCCTCCCCACCCCCACTCTCAGCCTTGTTATGAAAACCTTTGAATTTAAAGACACACAAAATTGTTAAATAATTTTTTTCAATATTTCAATTTATTAGCATCAATTATAAACGAGACAATGGCCTGCCTGGCCCAGTTGTTGGGTCAACATGTATAAACAGGATCATAATATAACAGCTCAACGCAACTGGAGATTATATGCACACGAGTATTGCATATCTTCCCGGGGCCGTGCTGGGGCCAACTGCCAAGCCTAGGGGCCCTAAATTCGCGAGGCACCTAAAATGGGTGTGTCCCAATAGAAAATGGCCGTGTTCTCGTAAAAATGGGCGTGGCACAGTAAAGCGCAATGCCCCCATAAGCGCGAGGCCCGTGGCATTTGCCGCATCTGACACATGGTTAATCCGGCGTTAAACGAGCAACAAGCTTCCATTTTTTTTTAAACGCGACGTGTGGGGAGACAATAATAATTTCTGGTGTCGCACTTGGGTAACATATCTCAATGCTGTATTTTTGGGTTACTAGTACTTGTGGAATATAATAAGATCAATAAACAATAGTGTATCAAAAGAAAGTAATTTTACTGATTATTTTAACTGAGCATCAAAGTGAACACACATTAAAATAAATATTCTAAACTATTTGCTATAATTTGAGTTTGAGGTGGTAGAATATGTAATAAAATAACAAACCTTGTATGGATTAATGTTCATTTCACACGCACGCTATTAACAGCTGCTTAATAATTAACTTATGTATTCGTAAACATTTATACTCGATAGCATCGATAGCATAGTCGATATGTAAAATGGTACATTATATGGATCAAACTGGAACAAAACAACAACTGAAGTTCTAATTTTGGGAAATTTAGTAGCAAATATAATCCCTAAACAGCTCATCGATTTGTATGTTAGCGCTATTAAAAGTAGACAATATTGAACAGTGATCTGAAGTTTATATTATGCAACTGACAACAATATTATATCTCAAAATACCTGTATATGATGATATTTTACAAATATATCAGGATTTTTGGACCAATTTTAAACTTAGCAAGGCAAAAGTCTCCATTCAAGAATATATCTTCTTCTCAAAAGGTAAAATACTTAGAATACTTGATTAAATTGTTTACTTCGACGGTATGTAAATTAACAGCGTTTGCTTGCAAGACGTCAAAAACGGACGATTTCAGCGCGCTGTCGTTTATCGCGTATTCATTTGCCCAAAGAAGTATTTACGTCAATTGAAAGCTTGTTTATTAAAGAGCCAACTAGTGGAAGCATGATCGATTTGGAGCTTTATCCCATAGTGAAAATCGGTTTTGTTAAGAGGGTATCGTAAATGAAGTAAGATAGTGTGCTCCAAAACTAAGATTATTTCTATTCCTAAAAGTAACTCAGATTTCCTGTAAGTCACGTACCCGGTCCTTTGAATAACCGAAAACAAGATTTTTAGGGTTTTAGATCGAGTATAAACGGTTGTCGTCGTGAAATTTGTCGGTAAAATCAGCGCATATTTTCCCCAGACAAAATGGCGATTTACGGTGGTCGTGTTAAAACGGCATTTTCTCAAAGTTAAAAAAGCATTTGGCCTAAAAAAATATATGGTGCATTTTCCGATATAATAAGGTATATCTGGGCAAAATTTGAGCAAAATCGATTTTTCAGTCGTGGCCGCGAAATATCTCATATGTTCGATTTTTACTGACATTCACTCTTAAACTGTCCAAAACGTAGTTAAAAATGGCGTTTGTATAGGAGTGAACAACATTTTTCAGTAAAACAACAATGAAAAGCAACGGTTACCTGAGATTTTCAATCGCTATCTTCCATGTGAATGTTTCCTGACAATATAAACTCTTCAAACGCTATCACTTTGGTGGGTTTTTTTACGAAAACAGAACATAGTTTTGCACAGGACGATTTCTCGAAGACGAAGTATGGTCCATTACACCAAGAAACACTGATATATAATTGCCAAACAGCTATACCTTGGTTTAACGTAGACATCTCAAGGAAAAACTGCGTTCTTTTATGATTTTTGTGGCGGTTTTTCCTTGTTTTCTTGTTTATTTTTCACTGTTTTCTAGTGTTTTGAATAAAATTCCCGCCTATTTGCAAAATACGAGTCCACAATCATGTTGAAAATGTGTGTCAGCGGTCGTTACTCGCTGCTTACTTTATGTAATTTTGTGTTTAAACGCCCCACGCAAGCCCCACGCACAGTTAACTACGTGATTAGTTAACTATCCGACTAACTACGTTTTGTGCAACGCAGTTAAGTCATGTAGTTAACTAATTACAGTTAAGGATTTAACTACAGTGATTAACGCTAACTACAGTTAGCGCTAATTACGTTTTTATACAACCGGCCCCAGAACTTTACCAAATGACTTAATAAAGTGGACTCAATGTGGTGCCGCTTAATACAGGTTTGACTCACTCCCAGCTGGGCAATGAGTGTGTAAGTCACAGAATACATGGATGAACTACAGAACAGAAAACTTAAAGACTGTATTTAATTATGGAGGGCGATACAACATACTACTACTGATGAGCTTGTGGCCCACAAATCATAAAATATAATTATACAACAACACATCTAAAAATACAAGTTTATGAATCACTAAATGCACTTGTTTGCATCATAAATCTTCTCCCAAGTATTTCAATGTAGGTAGTCTAGATCCTAAAAAACTAAAAAAAGTAGTAGACATGCAGCAGTTTGTGTCTAAACCATCCAAAAAAAGGTTCAAAACTGTTTCCTGAGGATTCAAGGGACTTAATGCTTAAACTGTTGAAGTGTTTCTAATTGTTTCAAAGGCACTTTGTCAAAACAACAATAATCTAATTCTAGTTACATGCCCGGCACTATAAGGCAGGGTGTGACCCCCCCCCCCCCCAAGAAAGTGTGTCCAATTGGCAGTTGATACAGCATAAGTTCATTGGGCTAGTGCTGTGTGCAGGAAGCTGGAGTTTGCCGGAGCTCCCGCACTTTTGGTCTGCCAGACTTGCAGTGCTTTCTCCTAGCTCCGGCTGGAAAGTTGGAATGACAAGAAATGTGACAATTTCATAGAATTAGAATTGGTTACAAATAATGGCAACATTGAACTCATGTGTCAAACAATTTTGACTAAGTGCAAACAGCCAAATTGCAGTAAGTCATTATGTCTGAGGAAAAGTTGTATATCACAAGTTTCATACTTTGATATGCTGTATCACGTCAGCTTCATACTTTGGTGATAAAATTGAGCCGAATAATATCCGCCATTATCCAGTTATAGACTTTATCTCCTGTGTTGTGAACCAATGCAGCTGGAGCCAGAGACATCAGAACCGGCGTTTGCACAGCACTAGGAAGATCATTGCATTCAGAAAGGACTAACTTAGATTTTGATATTATATAGCACTTGAATTTACATGCCGCAATATTGACTGCGCTATTGATGTTTGAAAGTCGAACTACTGTTTTCGAAAATGCCAAAAATTAGCATAAAACAACCTTATAATTGCCTATGCAGTTATACTTGTTAAATAATAAATATTGTTATTTTGGTTGCATCTCGCTCAATATTGCATGTACATTCAAGTGTTATATATACAAATCTAAGTTAGTCATTTCTGAATGTAATGATCTTTATTTCATTTCGATAGCTTTTATAGCTTTTACGTTACATGAAATCAAACAGTGTCCAGTTGTTTTTTTGGGGACACCCAGCACATTGGGCAAAGTTTGCTTGAGAAGAAACTATTAAAAAACCGGCCAGGCCACGTGACGTTATATGTACCATATTTTACTGATCATTGCAGTCCGGTCCATTTCATTGTAGTAAAGGCTAAAATTGTGAATCTGGAGACCCCTTGGTGTAAATTCGATCTTCTTTGCAAAAAAAAAACGGACCTAGCAAAAAATCCTGAAAAACAGAAACAAATAATGCAGCAAGGCAATACAGTTGGCGATTCATTAGGACAAATCAACTGTTTATTTAGGATAAAAAATGCAAGGTTTTCAAATAGCCTTATCAGCTTTTCAGTCGGAATGTCTTCCGTAGGCAACGTCGTGATTACCGACTGTAGCCGGCCGAAGGATTGTTCGCATGTTCGTGGATTGAACCCACAGTGAGGTTTACGAGAGAGGCTGCGACAACAATTAGTAACAAGAATGTTATTTTTTAACACACTTCAAAGCTTGATCGCCACACTCAGCGGAGTCGGCGGGCGAGGAATCATATATAAGCAATTAGGTATAAATTGTCGATTTAAATGACTGGGACCATTTAGCAAAAGCAAAAAGAATATCAATTGTGCACAGTTCTTAACACATGGCATGAGATATCAACAGATCAATTATATATTTTTTGTGGAAACACGCGTGTCTGCATTGAAGCCATTGAAATGTTAACATAGAAGGACTTCTATACCAACAGATGTTCTGGAAACGCTTGCAAAAGCCGTATCCATGCACCCGTATTTTCGGCGTTCGCTATATGCGTCTAAGTGAGTTTGCTGGTCTGTCAGCCGAGAGTGGACATTTGGAGTTTGGGTCATTTTGTAACTCAATAGTATTTTAATGCTGTATTATGTATTTATATCATTATAGAGATTACTTGCGTAGAAGAGAATTTTGCTATAAAGGGAAGGTAAGTAGTCATTTCGAGAAACTGTCGCCCATTAAATTAGTCAATTATGACATATAAGTTACCAAAACCTATATTCTATAAACAAAATTGTCAAATGTGCGCATCATTTTCAAATACTGTAACAGTTTCTAATTCAGTTGCCATAAGTACAATGAACTGTAATTTTCCACTTAAGAAATATGGTGAAGCTAAAATTTTGGCAATAAATAGGCCAAGAAGATTACTGTTGTTTCTAAATCCGGAGGCAAATGATGGGTATGTTGTAGATTATAATAATAATTTTTTGAATAAAAACAAAATTACCTACATGGTATAATAACTATTGTATAAAAGATTCTATTGACTTGATCTGACTCGATATATGTTAATCTGAGTTCATTCTCCTTTTTCATGGTCAAAAGCCATGATTTGTTTAACAGCTAAGAAACATTTTACCGTTGTCTGTGTAGACAGGTAAGATCGTACTGAACAGGCAACGGATAAACGTTATCTATTTATTAACTGTTCAGTTCATTTGCAAATTGCATGTGAATTATCTTGACTAAGCATGTCATATGTAATTTATTAACTGTTCAGTACATTTGCAAATTGCATGTGAATTATCTTGACTAAGCATGTCATATGTAATTTATTAACTGTTCAGTACATTTGCAAATTGCATGTGAATTATCTTTACTAAGCATGTCATATGTATACTTTCGACGGATATTGACTCTTCTTCTTTTGACGAGATTTCGTGAAGTATAAAGTAGAAAGATGTTCTTACTCTTTCTTCTTCATGGATTTACTTCATAAAGACAGCCTAGGTAGCCCAAAAATCAGTGGTATTAAAATAATTTCTGTTGAGGAAAATATACATTTAAAGTATTACTACTACTCAGTCCCCGACTTGATTGTTTGCTCGCGGATGGCGGTCAGCTTTGTGACGTGCGATCATGTATGTATGACTATAGATTTGACTATAGTATTATTTGATAATAATCAAATAATACTATAGTCAAACATACATGATCGCACAAAGCTGACCGCGCGTAAATAATGCAGTTGGGGACTGAGTAGTAGTAATACTTTAAATGTATTTTATTCAACAGAAATTATTTTAATACCACTGATTTATGAACTGAACATCGTAAAATTCACGTATCGATACAGTTGAGTTCTTGAAGTTCACTTGAAGAATATCTTGAAGTTCATATGTGCGTAGAAAATATCTTGAAGTTCATATGTGTTTAGTAATTAAATTTTCCTATTCACAAATTTGAATGTACAGGAAGGCCTTGAAATCATATGAAAGAGATGCGGCTCCAATATTACATCTTGGAGGCGTAGAAATTACCACAGTAAAGGTACAATAGGTTCTAGCAGTATTACAGTCGTGGCGATGGAACTATTCCTAAAATATTCTATCAATTCATTTGCTCACAAGAACGTAATTCATTTGAGATGTTTGATCAATTACTCTTCACATAATTTATATGATCATATTTGGTCACTTCCTGCCCCTATGATTGGTCTTGAAATTGCATGCATGCCGGCCTGCACCAAAACCAAACGTGATTGGTGCATTCGTACAGGAAGTTTATCAATTATGTACGAAAGGTATCAAGTTTTCAAAGAACTTATCAAATGAATTAGTTCTCAGTTGTAAGCAAATGAATTGTATAATATGTACACTTCTATTACCACGACTGTACTATTAGTACCTGTTATATTGAATTTTATGATTGTATACCGTACGTCAAAAGTGGAAATATTAATATAAGTGATGGGGTTAGGTAAAATACATTTAAAGTTCATGTTAAGGTCCATGATAAATTTGAAAAAAATTCACAAACCCAGTATATGCACCCTCCTCTAAACATTCCTAACTAATCTACTCATTCACATACATCAGGAGAAGAAAATCGCACCTAAAATCGCGCAGCAAAAATTGCAAGTGTAAACGGGCCTTAAGGCGGATTTACACTGCACAACTTTCGCCAAAAACTGTTGCATGCAACCTGCTCACAACCTGAGTTGTACTGTGTAAATAAGCACACAACTCACTTACGACAAGTTCCGAAATCTTCCAGTATCTTTCTGTCCAATTGTATTATGTTTTGTTTATGCTATACAGGGAACGTACAAAAGTCTTCATGCAAGTCACATCATGCAATCATGCATGTGACTTAAATACAGCTAACTAGATGATATAAAGTTTATAAACATGGTCTTGATTCTTGAAGACTTGAAACATTTCTTGAGAAGTTGACACTTCCTCTTATACTTAATACGGAAAGTCTAATCCTCCATCTCCTTTCCCTATTCTGTTTTTTGCTGAACCTATCATTCCTTTCCGTATGGTATTCGTTCGTTAATCTCGCTGTTCTCTCATGTTCTTTGTTTCTTGTTTCAATTGTTCCGAAAGGCGATAGCCCTTGTAGATGCGGTATGCTGACAACTCTATAAATTCTTCCTTCGATTCTCTCGATTCTTTCATTTCTTTCTCTTTACGCTTCATTTACTGTCTAACCTCCCTTCTCTCATACAATTTACCCACAAATACGCCCTTTATGTTCTTAAGTTCGTCTTCCGAACATCCATAATTCCATTGTCGAAACTAATGCACTTAATTCAGGTACTGTCTCAACAATTTCTCTACCTGTTGTAATGCTTTGTTTATTGGAATTGACAGATAAAGGTTGCTTACATCATAACTCACTCGTTTTCAATAAGATATCTCGTAACCTTTTCAAATGTTGATCCTACCGTTGAAACTATACCTCGTAATGGACCTCCGTCCTTGTGTATCTTCGGTAAATCCGACAATCTTGGAACATGACAGTCGTTTGGTTTTAATTCCTGGCTCGATTCCTTCGACATCTCATTTCTTTATACAATCCTTTCCATAATTTTGTGCCATCTCTAGAAACCTTTTCGTTCTAGTCTTTTCTTGTTTTTATAATACTTAGTTTTATTTTCAAGTCAATAAGTACTTGTTTTATCTTAAATTCGTTTTTGTTCTCCTCCTAACTGATTTTCCTTTTTGTCGATAGGCACCGTTATACGTCCTTTGTCTGCCGGTAGAAACACTTTATTATCATCGTTTAAAGCAGTTTTTCCTTTTAATCTCTTCTCTACCGGGTGTCCCAAAAAAAAGTACTCCTGTTTGATTCGTAATAACTTCTAAACAAGTAAAGCTTTTAAAGAGAAATAACTTGCATTAAATAGAGGAAGGAATAACTTAGATTTTGATATATTACAGTTGTATTTTACTTAAAAATTCACGGAGATATTAATGTTCAAATTCGGGAGCATATTTTGAGATGTGTCTAAAATTAGCGAAAATCGGCATATCAAATATTAACTCCAGCGTTTGTTTGCTTAATGACATATCAGGCTAACTTGTATTTCAGCGAATTATCGTTAGGGTTTGTCTAGGGATATGGCGTAGATTTAGACATCTTACATGTAAGTCTTAGCTCATTGTTTCCTGAAATATGAACGTTCGAAATTATGCAAGTATTTAGTAATATTAGGTCTTTACAAACTTAAAAGTACATGAAAGACTGACCATGGAAGGCAGGCGCTTAAATTTTTCTTAAAAAAGCCTAATTTTTTTATGTTTTTAATGGGTTCAAACAGACTGAGTTGATTATTTCTCGGTTAGAGCAGGATCAATATTAATCTTTATTGAAGGAAATAATATTGCTTTTTGCAAATACACATCGCCGAATCAACGCTACTATTTTGTTACGTTTTGTTCCAAAAATGTTGCATGTCTCTGGGGAGTTGCTTAATTGTTATGTCTTATGGAGTTATATGGTTTGATTGTGTTTCATATAATTCTCAGTTTACTCTGAACTTGCCAAGATTAAGAAAATGCAAAAGAGTTTGGGTGTTCTTAACAAGATTTCAGAACGTTGCAGAAGTTAGAAGAGTTTCACAATTCCATTGTGACAGCATGCCCTTATTCGTAACAACGAACGATCCATGACGATCCTTCGCGATGCAGTGGTCTCATGAAATAAGGAAACGTATTCGTGCTAGGAACACACGCGAATTTCGGACGAATAAATCTTGCTTGTATTTTGTAGATATAATAATACTTTCTTTCATAATAAACAATTTGTCAAGTGTCATTTATTTACTGATACTAGTGCATGTTTCAGTCGGGCAAATCTTGATTAATATTTGATACGCCGTTTTTTGCATATTTCAGACACATCTAGAAATATGCTCCCGATTTTAAAGATTAATATCTCGTGAATTTTGTAAGTGAAATACAACTGTAACATATCAAAATCTAAGTTAGTCCTTCCTCTATTTGATGCAAGTTATTTCTCTTTAAAAGCTTTACTTGTTTAGAAGTTATTACGAATCAAACAGGAGTACTTTTTTTGGGGACACCCGGTATAGTTATAAAATTAGATGGATATCGTTAATGTCCCGCTTTCTCCAGAATCACTTTCACAGTTTTTGTATAATTATAATCAATTGCCGAAACGTTGCAATAAAATATTATACCTTCAGTATAATAAATATTATACCTTCAGTATAATCCATGCAGAATTGAGAAAGTATAATCCATATAGAATTGAAAGAATATTGAAATTGTACTTTCTTTTTAATACTGCATGTCAGATTTGACTTCCACTACCGCTGCCACTACCTCTCACTACCTCCCACTGCCTTCAGTAAACATCTGATTGGTGGATCGGATATATCAATTATCAAACGCATCTGATTGGATAATGGTCCCTTAATGGTAGCGGTAGTGGACGTCAAATCTGAACCTCACTAATTGTAATGACACAACCTAACGAGTTCTTGGAATGTATAGCTTATACGTTCTAATATTATATTTTAGACAGATTATGAGGGTCAGTGTAAAGCTCTTACTCAATATCTCGATCCAAATATAGATGGCATTGTCATTGCTGGCGGTGATGGGACATTTTTAGAGGTATGTAAACTTTACATAAAGCGAAAGATATTAAGGCATATATATTGGCAAAAATACAATACAAAAGATGTCGTGATGTAATCGATGTCTGAGCACATTAAGAGTGCAACGAGCTATACAAAACACTAATTGGCACAGGCATTTTACGGTCTGAGTACAATTATACTTCATCTTAAGGGCTAGTTATTTCGCCCGCATGCAGATATATCGTACAGTATGTGAATTGCTGTAATTTAATGCAGCTGGTGCATGAATAATCTTTTATTATAAAAATGAGTTCTTAAACAATATTATTTTAGTCTATCTTTTCTATCTTCTCTGTCAGGTGCTCACTGGCCTGTTAAGACGGAATGATCAGGTATGTTCGTCAGCATTATATACTATATATATAGTCAATTGACATATGTTCTATAGAAATTCTGCGAACTTCAAAAGTTCTATAACCATGCACAATTCTTCTAAATTGTTGTAATTAATGTTTCAACAGCATGGTTAAACAAAGCAATACAACAATATATACAACCAATTTTGATAATGATGCCATAATCCGATTGCTTCATTATACTAAAAGTCGTTGTTTTCACCGTGCACAGATTTGCGTATTAAACACAAAACATAAAGGTAGAACAAAGACTTCATCCGAGTTTCCAGGCCATATACATTAACTATTACAATATTTACTGTGCAGTAAATTCTACACTACATGGCTGTGAATTAGTGCGTTATTGAAGTGGTGAGTGTTCTTGCTGTTGCTATTAATAAAAAAATAACCTGTATTCCCTTTAATTTATTATTACTCAACCTCGTAATTGTTATTTTTCTGAGCAAAACATTTTTTATAGATTTTCTAATTTTGCCTAGGACAAAATTTCTAAAATTCCTATCGGACTAATTCCTCTTGGCCGCGACAACCGAAGTTACAACAGTATTGTAGATGATGCCCCGGATCAAAATGTGACGTAAGAATTGTTTTTCTAATTATTTAATTATTATTTTTAATTTTATGTTCAAGAAGCATTTATTTTAAAGTTTTTGATTAATTTTGAAGTCATTTCGTCAAGGACCACGTTGTGACTTACGATCACTCCTGAGTGATCGTAAGTCGCAACGTCATCCTTGTATACTAAAGTGATACTGTGATGACGTTGGTTATATTTCCTCGACTTTTCTAGAAAAATAGCGAAATCTGCTCTAAATATTTTGGATAACAGAACGAAGGATGTTAGCGTGATGGAAATCACCGTAAGTCGGCTGTTATAAGTCGGTATGAGAACACCGCAGAAAAACGTCTGCGCATGCACCAAATTATGAAAATATGGCGGGGAATTTGAATATCAATTTCTAAAACAAAAACATGCTTATTAATTGGTCAAAATTAGTAAAACAAACGAGAAAATATAGCAAATGGGTAGACTAGACATTAATTGAAAGCGTCCTGGCATTTAAAGTATGGAATGAAATATAATTCATGTAAAAAATTGTTGATTTTAACGGACACGACTTCGAAAATTTTTGCAAAATTATTCAAAGCAAAAATTCAAACTCAAAAGTTAAGAAAACTCTCGAAAAGTTAAGCTTCTTAACCCACTCAAATTGTAGAATAAATCCTAAAGTTTAATTATTGTGAACACGAAATTTTTTTATATTTAGCGACACAGTTTTTTTTAAAAGAAATGTATCTCAAACGAAAATTCGAAAATTGTCGTTGCTTAGTTGATAAACAAAATGTTTCGGACGATAAATTTGTCAACAATCACCTTTAGTTCATGTTCTTGTACAATACAATTTCTTGAACCTTCTGGCTGTATTTATTCCTAGTTTTTAGAATGACATGTTTATTTTTGCGCTCGAAATCTGGCTGTAAAGACGCACAATGAAGTCACTCCTTTTTACTGCCATTTTGAGCCTTCGGAAACGTTCGGAACAGCTTCTCATCAAGTTTGCAATACAATTCCAGGTAAGGTTGACGCATGCGCAGACGTTTTTCCGCGGTGTTGGTATGAGGGGCTTCGGTGCATGACGTAATCATCAGAGCAAGCGCCTTTCACCTCTGAGATTGAGGGTTCGATCTTCACATCGGACTAATGACACTTATGTGAAAAGAGTCAGTCAACGCTCTACCGGAAGTCGTGGGTTTTCTCCGGGTACTCGTGGGTTTTCTCCGGGTTTCCTCCCACAGGGAATGTTGACAGGGTGGGTTGGGATTATTCCCCTAACTGATCCTTCCATCGTAGCTGTACTCCGTGATCAGACATGAGTCATTGTAAGGTGGCTGCCAGTGGAGCCCTTAGTAAGCCTTCGACTCGATCAGGTTGAGCCGCGTTCTACGCAGTTTAGCTCTCAGCTGCCAGTAAGGATGATTAGCACATCCTACTTACTTACTTACTTATCCATTTTTATTGAGCTGGCGTAAAATGTATATATAAATTTACGTATAAATATATAATTGTATAGACAACCGAAGGACGACCAACGTACGCTGTCAGCCATATAGAATGGGGACCTTTACAGGATGCAAAGGAAAATAGAAGGTATACTGTATATTACAAAAAAATATGAAGGGTATCGAATTTTTTCCCCTCCTTCCCTGATTGCCCTGAATACGTTAAACCGCCATTGCTTTGTCTGCTTTTGCTTGTTTTAGATACTGGTGGACTGGGCCATTGAAACGACGTCTACCATATTTTCTGGCAACGTTAAAGGTGATTACTAAGCTAAATTAATCTAACTTTAATATACTCACTGGTTAATTCGATCAGTTCCTATAGATCCAGTAGGGGCATCCGTTACTGGTCCAGTGCAACTGCAGGGGTAGCCGACGGTATCTAGTAGAGCTGGGAACACTATTAGCACTCTTCTCATATTCTACTAAGACTAAATTATAATCAGAAAACTGCATGTTAGGGAAGCCTAGAAATGAAAGACCCGTGTGCTTGACTGTCCCCCCTCCTCCCCCAATAACTATAAGCGCATCATTATAACGTGACATTGCATGTGGTTATGTTTGACTTCATCATATACTATAGAAATGGCCTCCGGCAATTTCAGCCCATCTATCATATACATCAGCAGACTCACAGAACACTGGAAAGTGCACCTCACCACAACCTACCACGCCATCGAACCAGTCAAATAAACATGAAAAAACGGAAGAAACAAAACGCTTGGAAAAAAGTAGTATAGTCTCTCTAGTTGGACTTTTTGTGAAGTTATTTCAAGACACGGTACGTTTGAGACACAGTTACATTAAATCGTGCAGTATCCAATCATTTGAATGCTTTGACCTTATTTGATGTATGAGTAGTTTACAAAGTATTTGTTTTCATGAGTGTTGGATAATATGGAATGCGACTATGAAATATACTCCAACATGACACACCATACTATGTTATAATTTTAGAAGGAGACGTTTTTGCAGACATCAGTATTGTCATCAGATTTAAACAAACTTGACTTCATAAGATGTGGGTATGTAATCTTTAGTAATCAATGAACCAAACCAAATGAAACCAATCCAAAATGTGAATAAATATGTTTGTTGTTCGTATATAGTTGGAAACGTGAAAATGAAGGAATTCTGACCAACCGTAAGTAAACATATTCCGTGGTATTTTCTTGCTTTACCTTATCACTGTACAGTTCTTCGTTGTTTTGTTTTGCATGCATTGATGGTTCTTGGGTAGTCTGTTCTCAGAAATTGTTCATTGATATTCATGACATTTTGCAGAAAATATGAAAACAACTGAATCGACAGAATTTGATTTAAGACCCTTGGATGAAGAGGTATGTGATGATACGTTTTATCTCACCAGAGCGTGATTTCGAGGACAAGAAAATTAGTTTAGTTAATAAACTCGTTGCGAACGATTGCCATGAATTTTCATTATAACGAGTAAATTTGTCTCATCCTCGTTTCCAGGCTCTTGAAATCGTTTGTGGTTAGCCAGCGTAACATTTATACACATTGCACTCCGCACCTTGTGTTTGGTATAAAGCAAGTAGAAGTATAAATCACACCCCATAAAGAAGAATGATAGGAAGTGCCGTTCTCAACATCGCTATAGATATCAGTAGACCTTTCCCCTTATGAGTGAAATTTTGATCTAGATATGCCTGGACAACAATTTCATCACAGCTTGAAAGAGCATCACAAAATTAGTAATATTCCGATGTTTCGTTGCGAAATGTTGTAAAATGCGGATAATATAGCCTTGCGAAGTTTGCCGTTTTTCAGTCATTTTGCATCAGTTTGATCATCTGATTATCAATTTCCCGTTTGTAATACCAAATGACGGAAAAACGGCAAACTTCGCAAGGGTATATTATCCTCATTTTACAACATTTCGCAATGAAACTTCGGAATATTACTAATCTTGTGATGCTCTTTCAAGCTGTGATGAAATTTTTGTCCAGACTTGTCTAGATCAAAATTTCACTCAAAAGGGGAAAGGTCTATTGATTAATGAAATGACCATTCAGTTTACGGTGTTTTCACGGCGCGCCGCTGAAATTCACTCTTAAAGCAAGTGTAAAAGATTTATTGGCAATTAAAGGGGTCCGATCAGACACGGAAAAAGTGTTTAATGTTCCTCCGATCCTGAATTTGCCGTTTTCACTGTTCCTTGAAAGTGTGTAAAAACACTGGAAAATTTGACTCTACATATGACGCTGTTATGCACACGATAACAAAGTATTACATGTCTGAAATGACAGATAAGGAAGTATGATATGATTCCTTAAGATTTTCCCATGACGTATGTGTGAAAGTGTTTCTCAATCTTCTTGCTAAGGCAAATATTCCTCAAGATCCAAAATGTCGAGATCCCACTTAGGTTAACGTTCATTATACATTGTCGTGTTTATTTTTAAGACGTCTTGGTACACAATTGATGGCGAGAAATTTGAAGCAAGACCAATCCATGTGAAGATTCTAACGAACAAAATTAGAGTGTTTTGTCCTCCAACTTAGATGGATGTTTTTATGACAATGTTTGGAGATTTGGCTGCACAAGGCCTCTAAAGGTCACCAAAACTTGAAAACTTACGAACTCAAATTACGTTACACCATAGACATCAAAGGGAACCCTCGATTATTCAGCTATTGAATCGGTTATGGAATTTCAAGGAAGTGTCGTTTGTTACGTTTAGGTTAGGGTTTTAGCACAGAGGAAGTACATATACAGAGGTCTCACTTCAGGTTAATTTAGCGTAAGCCGGGGATTTTTATTTTTCAGTCCGCCATGTTCTTAGCCAGTCCGGTAAAGAGAGGCCATCACCACCCTAAAAACATATTTAAATTTAATGTTCCAGGGGGGTGAATGCCTCTCTTTACCGGACTGGCTAAGAACATTGCCGCCAGCTATTTTTGTAAAAACTACCTTAACGGTTTTCCAGCAGAAGTGAGACATCTGTATGTACCTACTCTATGGTAAATATCAGGATTTTGGGCCCTCGATGTGACTAATTGTGCAAGGGTTTTGTAGATGGAAATTTCAAGCCCATAGAGTATAGTTGCATTTTTCCGCAACTTCTCCTCGTTAGGTCTAATAAATGTATAAGATTCACACTCGAAATTTCCATCTACAAAACCCAAAATCCTGAAGGTTTAGAATGAGGGTTCGGATTCCAGTAAGATAGGGATATAGGGATATGTTAGGATTCGTCTTGATTGTCTATGGTGTAATTTAATTGATAAAATTTTGGGGTCGGAGGTCTTATTTTTCAAGATACCGACTTAGGAATGTTGGCAGTAAGGACTGTGTATACAGTATACTAGTTTGTCAACCGGAGAAAATTGCTCTGATGAGGCCCCGCATGCTCATTGGACCCTTTCGAAAATTGCTTCCCAAATTTTATGGAACCATAACGTTTGCCAGCGGAGCGGCTTTGTCTTCAAGTGTGATTTCTCAGGAAGACAAAGAAAAATTCCGCTCCGCGCGCAAAATCCCGCCTACTGGAAAACCGGCTTGAGAATATTAAGGCTGGATGGGAAAAATGTAACGTATACCCAAGGTCGTTCAATTGACATTTCAACTACAGACCCTGGCCTGGCTTGCGAGGTTGAGAACATCTTTCAGAGGAAAGTATGAAATATTATGCTACGCTGTGATGAATCAATTAGCCATTTCCCAACGTCCTGGGTCTAGTCGCGCAAATCTCATGTTGAAGGGACAAGAAATATGGCAGCACACATTTAAATTAAAAGTTTAATGTAAAAAAGAGATATTTCATTTTTGGTCGTCTAAAAAGTTCATATTTGATAGTAGAACGTCTACTCTTTTACATATTTGACGCCTGTCACCATATATTTTGTCCCTCCAAACGATCCCAGAATGCACTGTGATATCTTTTGGGAAAAGGCTAATTACAAACAACTGCAAGAGACCTTTTTGTATATGTGATCTAAAGGCCGCGACATATGAAGAGTACCTTTTTGTGTATGTGATATAAAGGCCGCGACATATGAAGAGTACCTTTTTGTGTAAGTGATATAAAGGCCGCGACATATGAAGAGTACCTTTTTGTGTATGTGATATAAAGGCCGCGACGTATGAATCACGAAAACGAGGCTCTATAGCCAAGGACACATGCAAAGTGCAACGTCTGAAACACGCCGCACTTTGCTCGCATTATGCGACCGCATTGGTCGAATGGTTTGTTCATCTTCAGACGACTGTACGTTTCACTGTGGAAATGCGGCACTTGCCAACGCCCTGTCAAAAAAAATCTACCCCGCCCAGGAAATATAGAAATTTATTATGCATAACTCTTGACTACTTTATATCAATGACCGCGTTTGTAAAGTGGGATTTTTTTCTGATTTTGACATTAGTTCCAATTGACTACGTTTATTGCTGATGTTAAATTTCGAAATGTTACCTGTAGTTAAAATGTGACCTTGTCACTCTGTTTCGTATTTTACAAACTCTTCCTGTACGTGCATTTAGCCCCTCCCATGCAACACTGGTAATCTAAGGGAGGGTCAGGTCAGTGTTTTTGTTTGAATTCACATTGAGATTTACACTTTTGAGTTAAAGCTACAGATAATACATAACAAAAATAATAAATAAATGTATTCAATAGCAATATACAGATACATTTTTTCTAAAATTGAGAAAAATACAAGTATGTAACTTTTGTTGCAACATTTGAAAAAATTTGTCCACCCACCCCACCCACAGTGTTTTGTCATGCTAGGGCGTGGTTGGTCTGTGGCTTTGTTTAGATGCGAAATAAAAAGATCGATCGAAGTATGGCGTCGAATAGCAACGACAAAGAAACGATGACTAAACCTAAAGTAAAAATGCAAGACCAAGCTTGCCAGTTTGATTCTTCGCTACTGGAAGGTAAAGAAGTATATTCTGTTTCATTTCCGCTCGATATTGTCCCAAAACTAAAGTTGTGTTTTTCGTATTTACCTTTGAAAATAGACGCTCCTACAATGTGCGATGCTTGTACATCAGTGCCAAGGTAAAGTTCTGTTCAATTTATCTTTCCAAAGCTTCAATGCGGTCAACGCTAAGCAAGTGCTTGTAAATTTCACTGTTTTGTTTAGTATTTTGTTCATGTAAAGTTATAAACGTATAATAAGCTTATTCCCTTTTAAGTATACGGCGTTATTAATATGAACGTGGCTCAATTCCAACTTTCCAAATCGTAGTGGTTGATTGAATTGTAAAATTTTGAATGTAGAAGCTATAGCCGTAATTATTGTGGCGTTTACAGTCCGTAATAGTGAAGTGGCGATCTCGAAAAATTATGATAATTCATAATCGCATGCAACGCGAACTCGAGTTTAAAAGGCCTGATTGTTTGCTTCTAAAAATGGCAACATTCACTTGACTATCCGGCTTTTGGCAATATTTTATTACATATTTACATGTGTATTTGTTACTCCTGATCTTCACACTAAAGTTGTTTCAAGCCTCAAGTCATTGTGAATATATAGATCTCTAAATGCATTTAAATGGACAGCTTTTGACCAGATTTTGGTTGAGTGATCATTTGCAGTGTCCTTGTTCAATTCCGAATTGGATATTTATAAATCAAATTATTTGAGATGATATTGAAACTATGACAATAAATGGTTGATTAGGCAATTGTAAGAACCATGAAGGACTGTTCATACAGTATACTATTGCTTCTGTTGCCAGTGATGTGTGGGGGGGGGGGGGTTACCTAAATTAAAACATAATATTACTGGTTTCCTTAAATTTAACCCATTGAGTGCCAGAGCTCTTCTCCCCTTGATGAGTAAAGTAGTTTGGCATTAGACAGAGTAATACAATAAAATAGGGCACAATGCAACTTCGGTTAACTAAACACTGCAGGTTGATGCAATATATCAATATTTCTTATGAATATCGATATTTCAAAAATATCGATATTCTATTTTTTGCATATCAATGTCTTAACTAGACCACTTGATCTCCTTTTTTGGCAATTATTGCCCTGTAAGAGGGTCTAGATAGGGGGGTCTGAAAATTAGTAAACGGTAAAAATTTTGGTATTTTAATGGTAACAATAAGTAACATTTTGGTATATTTAATTTAATTTAATAAGATTCGGCTACTATTTAAATGCAACATATAGAGCCAGGGAATTCGCCACAGATTTCCCCAATTACGGCGATCCCATATAAACAAGAATAAAATTACTGTACAAAACAAATTTTCAAGCAACTCAACAAGCTAAAACTAATAAGGCTAACAACAACTTATTTCATTGTTAAGCGATCTTGCTCTTTTGCACTTTACACACACTGATTTCCAGGTGCGCAGATCGTCACATTTGAATGTTTTGGATAGTGCATGTTTGTAGTAGAGTTTAAGACCTGATTTAAAAGACAGCAAACCTATATCTCTAGTACGCAAGTTACTATCTAATATGTTCCACGTTTTGCAAGTTCTTATAAAAAATGAGGTCTGGAATGTTACGGTTTTCGCATAAGGAATAACAAATCTAATTAGGTTTGCATTGGATTCACTTCTTGTAATTCCTGATCCAGCCATGATCGGTAGAACACGTTCGTCAATGTACGTAAGACTGTTGATGATCTTGTAGAGGAACACCAGATCTAAGTATTCGTGCCAATATGAGACAGGTAATATGTCAAGCTGAAGGAGTCTTGTCTTGTAAGAAATGTCTGTGATAAACCCAAGATTCAATATGTATTTAGTTGCTCGTCTCTGCACTTTCTCAACGTCCTCAATAAGTTTCACTGACTGAGGACACCAGGCTTGGGTTGCATAGGAAAAGTTACTTCGCACTAGTTGAAGGTACAGAAGCCTTCTCGCGTTGGTGTCCGTTATCTCCAAGGTAGAACGTCGGATTAACCCGAGCGTTTTGTTGGCTTTTGACCGAACTTTGTTGATCTGAACATTCCATAATAGTTTCGAACTGATCGTAATGCCCAGATCGGACTCTACATCAGAAGACAATAATTGGTGATCGCCAAGTGCATATGGGTAAATTAAGGGAGACTTCCTTCTTGTGATAGACAACACTTTACACTTTGATTTGTTAAACCTCAACATGTTCTCATTTGACCAACAATG